TTGGCTAATTGTCATCTTAAGGTAAGTGTTTGATCCTCCTGTAGTGAGTCGTCTCTCATTGACACTCTTTCCTTTTTTCAGTTCTTGAAAGTCGTTTCACTTTATGTTCGCAGTTGGATAGCAAACATGAGGCTGCTAATGCTTATGCTGATGCTGCTCATTGCTACAAGAAGTCAAACACTAAAGGTTTGTAAGTCACGGAACACTTATTTGATTCAAACCAGCCCTTTTATGTTGCATGCTTGAAAAGAACCCCTCCAAATGAAGTTAACATCTGTTGATGCAAGTGCGCCCTGCTCTACGTGTAATCCTCTTTTCATTAGGAACTTCTTAGAGGTTTTGCTTTTATCAAATACATATTAGTTATCTTGTACAACAACAACAACAAACCCAGTGTAACTGGGGTCTGGGCATTGTTCCAAGGTAGTTGCTCTGCCATCCGTAAGCTGCTAGATGCTCTCCTTTATGGGTGAGGTTATTCTTTTTGCTATTAGAATGACACTTTCAATTTGTAATTTATAATAAGGATGTTAAAAAGATTGGAGAGTGTTGCACTGCCAGGTGCCAACTATTCTGGATATAGGCATGATTAGAATTTTTTAAGTCTCAAATTAATTAAAAAAGAAACTTTTTTGAAACATTTGGAAACTATTTTGAGTTTATGTTAAATATTTGAATGCAGTAACTTTACTAGATTAGTATATAAGATACATAATGATTACATTGTTACAAAGAAAAAGAAGTTATTGTATTTATTCATAACTTCATGCTTTAATGCATAATATCAAGAGTATCTACAAAATACTATGCATAAAAGTTTACACATAGCATCATTTATGATATAACATACTAAAAGAATAACTTTGTTGAATTCAATGAAAGTAAGATAGTGCACTCCCATTTAATTGATAGTTTATGTTAATGCTCTCACATTTGTTTGTTATTTCATAAGATAAATATGTTGAGTTATATGAGGGTTGTTGCCACATTGACAAATATTATTTTTTTGATAGTTAGTACTTGTCAAAAAAAAAATAAAAAACACTTTGAGAGATTCCAAGGATGTTCCTTGGAACACATAATTTTGAAACTACAGTTAAATTTCTTTCATTTTTGGAGGTTTTGGTGGTCATATTTAGAAATTGAAACCATCAATATTGCTAAACACCTGCAAAGCAAAGTACTGATGAGAGAGAGAGAGAGAGAGAGAGAGAGAGAGAGAGACTGGTTATCATTGTCACAGGCACGCATACATTACGTACACGCACACTTGTTTAATCGATTCTGAGTCAGAACAATATATTGCTTCCGGGGCTTTGGTTCTGGGAAAGGTAGAGGGTGAGCCCTTTGTCTTATATGGTACAGTGCAGGATCTGTGATAAGCACACATCACAAGTGGAGAATCAAGTTTTGGTATTTAAGTAGATATGGGTAGAGTGGTGGCCCATTATTTAGTGAATTTCATGCTTAAAAGAAAGATCATTATAGTATATATCAATAATCAATCTATCAACTACACCTCAACCCAAATTAGCTGAGGTTGATTATATTTATCCGGCTTATCCATTCTACTATATTCATGTCCATTTTGCTCCTAAAATCATATGCAGTGTAATTCAAATGTCACATCATTTTCGAGAATGTTTTCTGAAAAGCATCACATTGTTATTATTTTTCCATTCTTCTTTAGTCATCTTTAGCTTTGGCTTAAACAAATTGAATTCTGTATATATGTATCCTGCAGAGGCAATATCGTGTTTAGAGCAGGCAGTGAACATGTTTCTGGACATTGGGAGGCTAAGTATGTCTGCAAGATATTACAAGGTATAAAATCTAGCTGTGGTCTTTGATGTTTTAGAGGGCTGTTCTTTTGTGTTCAATCAGACTCTTCATGTGAGCACATGCTCTAAATATATGTTCTTGTCAGCTCAATGCTTTGTTTGTCTTATGTACTTACCCGGTTGAACTTATATTACCAAGAAAGGTGATAGGTGACTGGTCTTGTGTCTGTCACTTTCTTATTAATGTCGTATGTGATCCTCACGGCAAAATGATTGTAGAAAATGCAGATACTTTAGTTGAAGTATCCATAGGAAGCTTGGTTTCACTGTTTGAAAGAGATATAACTTGCTTGGTGTGCAGGAAATTGCTGAATTATATGAGCAAGAGCAAAACTTGGAGCAGGCCATTAGTTACTACGAGAAGGCAGCTGATCTTTTCCAGAGTGAAGATGTGACAACAACTGCAAATCAGTGCAAGCAGAAAGTTGCACAATTCTCTGCTCAAATAGAAAAGTAAGATTCATTGTAGTTAGGAAGTGATATAATTTTCAGAAGGAAAAAAAAAACAATGCTGATCATGTCGTGAGAGCGATTGCTCAGCACTGGAAGATATTGCATAGTTCTCTGTCAAATCTTTGAGGTTTATCTGGTCTTGTTGGAGTGATGGTGAAATCAATCTCTTATTATGGATGAAACAAACAGGAAAGATAGAAAATGGGTCAATATCAGTAGTTAGGAGAAGGTTATCACTTCCGAATTATGAGTGTAACTGTGAATAAATGGCATTTGATGAGTCCCATATTTCACGGTGTTAATAAAGTTATAAGCTGTTGTAAGCTGTTGTTTTAGCTTCTAATTGTTCAATATATTATAAGAATTGGTTTGTTCTCATACAAATTCGACATTATTTCCTCAGATATCCGAGAGCAATTGAGATCTTTGAGGAGATTGCACGTCACTCAGTCAATAACAACTTGTTGAAGTATGGAGTTAGAGGGCATCTTCTTAATGCTGGCATTTGCCAACTTTGTAAAGGTGATGTTGTTGCAATCAACAATGCATTGGAGCGATATCAGGTTTCTTTTTCAGCCACGAAGATTTCTATCCACAGACATGCTTTCAGTTAGTAAATATTGCATCTTTATCTGCAGGAGCTGGATCCAACATTTTCAGGGACACGCGAATGCAAATTGCTAGTGGTATGTCATAGCTTGCATATTCCAGCCTATGCATGTTATTTTCTCTCCTGCTTCCTGACCCTTCACTTTTAGATAATTGTTGGCTCTGGTCTTTGTGAAAATAGTTTGCATCATATCAAATCTACAAACTGCTATCATATTTCACATGATCCAATGCATTTATTGCTAATTACCTCCTAGTATTGCAAATGATCATATTGAGGTACAGTCACGCAAGTGCCAAAGACAATATAAGATTTCACTCAAGTGCTTATACTTGTTGCTTCGCAGTTATCGTACATGTAATTTCTGAATATGACAGTAAAGAGCTAATTTGGGAGTATTTTTGCCAATAACAGGATTTGGCAGCTGCAATTGATGAGGAAGATGTTGCAAAGTTCACTGATGCTGTCAAAGAGTATGATAGCATGACACAACTGGTAATCTTGAACTCTTGACACCTTTGTACCAATTAAAAGAAAAATCATGTGTTTTGGTGACACAAACTACTATAGCTGTCGTTCAGTGCCGTAAGCTAGTAGCATCTTCACCAACTCTTGTGAAGCAGTATCTGACCTTGGGTTCTTTTGATCTGGTGCTATAGGTTGAATATTCTTGTCATTCTCTCTCTAGGGTGCTTAATTTATTTTTTTGTGTTTTATGTAACTGTAGCATAACCACTCATGTTTAACTGCTATATTTTGGTTTTATGGCAAATATCTGGATATATTTCCTAGCTTAGGATAGTTAGCAGCGTTTTATACCAGCAAATAACTCTTCTTTGGTTTGACCACCAGTATTCTCACTGTTGGAGTATATCAAAAGGCATGTTTATCTGAAGGAGACCTAGATTCTTTGCAAGTTAAGGTATAGGGAAGTGGATGAAATTGAGGACTGGAGACGGTGCACTGAACCCTGATTTGTTTTTATTTTTTTTTAAAATATTGATTTTAAGGAGGGTAGAGGGTATGATTGTCAGGATAAACTTGTATGGGAAGACGGTGCAGGTCTTATAATTTATGGGGCAGTAGATGCATTTGAGTACAGAAGTAGCTTTACTGACCTTCAAGCTTGACTTAATGCATTGGCATTTGAATTTGAAAGCAGAATTTGACACTTGCAGTGGCTATGCAAGTGCTACACATAGTAATGGTGCCTGAGGCTGCTGACTTAATAAAACAATAGAATTCATTTGCTTATCTGGTTTTCTAAAATACACTCAATCTTGAAATTATCTATAAGGTGGTTTAATTCTTTTTGTTATCACTGCTTCGTGGATTCATAGTTGGATGCTTAATTGACTTGAGCACGTATTACCATGTTGTAATTTTACACCGATTTTCTACAATCTACTTAAATATCTTCACTCCACAGGATGCTTGGAGGACAACACTTCTTCTAAGAGTGAAGGAAACATTGAAGGCTAAGGAGCTCGAGGAAGATGATCTTACTTAATTTGTTCCCCTTTGACCTATTGTAAACTACTAGTACATCCTTTATGTGATTTTATTTGTACTGGGTGATTGATTATTATCGTGCTTGCGTGAATGCATTTTTTTTGAACTAATTGAGTTTGAAGGTTTTAATCTAATGGTCAAAGTTGAAGTCTTGAGGCTGAGAGATTAAGGTCCAAGTTTTGTACAATTCTGTGTTGGTGAATTATGTGTGAATAAATGTTCTCATTTGGACTAGAAGAATGAAACAAAATTGTGCCGGTTGTCTGGAAGTAAGAAGAAAGTGGAATTGGAGTTTTGAGCTTCTTACACAACGATAGGTTGCAAGTTTTAATACAAGAAAAAGAGAGTAACGACTACCATCCTAATCTCAGATGATTTAGTTTATTCGAATTCGACGCAAGATATATTTGGTCATCTAATATTTCTCATGAAGAATCAATGGGGAATAAGCAAAAACGAATATAGAGAGGGAGTTAGGCTCCTCTATTATGGATGAAGGTTTTTTTATTTTGTCAATAAAATTTATGGCAGTAATGTGCTTATCTTCTATTCTGTGCTATCATCCTCTGCAATTAAAGCTAGTTTCAAAGAGTTATATGCGCAAGAAACAAGCTTGGTGCTTTAATTTTCAATGGCAGATCATATTAACACGTCCAAAGTTGTAGCAACAAAAGTATCTGCTAGTTGGCTATTTTAGAGTTCAGAGGAATATTTTGTAGTGTCAAGCATCTTCATTCGTCCTGTTTCAATGTAGTCTTGCTGAAGTTTCTAATTATCAAATTTTATGGTTGAAAGCCTTTACTATGACTTGAGGATTTTTTCCTGTGTGAAAAAGTATGTCTTTTCATTATGTTCCCAAATGCTCAACTGCAATCTTAAAGGGTAGCTTGGAATTTGACTTCAATGAGACGTGCATGCATGTGGGGTAAGGGTAAAAACTTATCCTTATTGGATGTTTATACTAAATCATATCAACTTATCATGGTTAAGTAATTTAAAAAAATGATAATAATTATTAATTAACTATGATTAAATAAGAAAAGTTTATGTTCAAATTACATGCCATGCATCAAGCTAAGTATGATATTCTTCCATCAAAGCCTTTAAACAGAAAATGCTTTGTGAATTATTGTAGTAACTATGTCATAGATAAGACATATTGCTAAGTGTGTCAGCCTCCATTACTAGTGATACTAAATGCCACATATAAATCTCTTTGGTAATAATGGAATTAAGAAGCACAAACTTTGGTATTGAATATCTGCTAAATTATGGTGTACAAAACACAATGAATATAAAAATAGATGAAGTCACTTTCTTCGTTCATGACATGGGGCAATTTCTTGGACATGACTGATTAGAAGTATCTTTCATGTTATTCCCCCTCTGTTTTCTGATATGTATTTTTCACACTGGCAATACAAAAGTACACGTAATTGAAAGTATCTTCTTTTCTTTCATATGTATAGCAGCTAATTGATCTTAAAAGATAATTATTGAGGATTAGAATGAAATGGATCCAAATTAAATGATGATTAGCTTTAGAAATTAGTATAGCCTGCCTAGTGCCGACCCCTACTTGTTTGGATTAGGCATATATAGTAATTATATTCCAAGCAGGCATTCGTTCTTATAGACCGGTACTTGGTATTTAGTCTACAACTCTACTTGTTCCAATATATGCTACCGGGCTAAAAGATGAAAGAACTGTGCAAATATTATCTAATTAATTGATATAAATGACGAAAAAAATTAGTTCTGCGAAACACTTTGTTTGCACTTATTTTTTGACACAAAATGTACCTATTTTACTTGCTTAGGGTAGGCGGCTGTCTCCTAAATATGCATTTAGATTCAAATGATAGAGAAGGTTAATAGCGTTTTCGTTTTTCATCCTTTTTCAGCTATCGATCTTTGCTAATGTTTTGTTGCTTTTGATGAGAATATATCTCTATAAGTCCAGAGTGTATACTTTTATTAGCGAGGGGACAATGGCCCATTGCAACCTTGAAGGGTATCTTGAAATTTGGACAAGTATGATATTCTTCCGCCAAAGCCTCTTAAACAGAAAATATTTTGTGAATAATTGTAGTATATAACTACTTTAATTAACTAGAATAGTCGATCTTTAGTAGGCGGCTATTCGAAACTGCTCCATTACTAGAGATTAAAAAAATTAAACACAAGCAGCATGCTGCTCTGTGTGTCATCATTCATTTGTGATACTAAATGTCACATATTTATTATCTCTTTGGTGCTAATGGAAGAACCATAGATTTTAAATATTTGCTAATTAATGTTTGTTGGGCGGGCAGGGCCATACATTGAGTCTCGAAAATTGACACGTAGATCGTGATAATGAGCCATGTAAAACTTAGTTCGAGGGAGAGATTGTTGGCTGTGCGAACAAAGTCTCACATTGGTAACTGAAAAGATTGAAAACCTACATATAAGGTGTAGGAATCTCTTAATGCTATGAGTTTTTTTAGTAAAATCGTGCAGGCTCGGCCCAAAGAGAACAATATCACACCTTGTCAGGAGTATCTTTGGGCAGTTTGACCCTAACAATTGGTATCAGAGCCCAAGTTCGGCGGAATGAGTATGACGATAGCAGAGTGAATGGCGTGGGACTCTGTTTACTTCCCCTTACGTGGTTAGACACTGACACGTAGATCGTGGTAATGGGTCACGCAAAACTTAGTTCGAAGAAAAAATATTGGGTATGCGAACAAAGTCTCACATTAGAAGCCGTAAAAATTGAGAACATATACATAAGGTGTATGGATCTCTTAATGATGTGAGGTCTTTTGAGAAAAAAACGTAGGGCTCAACCCAAAGAGGACAATATTTTATCATGTTAAGAGTATTTTCGGGCCGGTAAACTCCAACAAATATGTATAAGACATATATATAAGACAATGTTATCACTTTAGTTTGTCATGACATCCCTGCAGCTAGCTTCTTGTCTCTTTAGAAGAGGGCATGAAGAATGTCTAATCCCACTTTATTGAGTAATTCTGGCTCATGGATGATTAATTGCCTCTTTGCAGCACCTTACGAGACCAATAAATCCATTAACTGGCTTCTAAGTTCAATGAAAGGTTCAGTACCAGCAGCAGGTTAGGGTAAAGGAAGCTTTTTCATATGCCACTAACATAATTAGATAGGTAATTATATATAATATCCAATCAATTAGACCTTTAAGCTAATTAAAATATTATTTGTAATTCTTACGTGTTAGGTAGTTGGCGAGTAATTAATCCAATGAAACTCTAGGACATAATAATGTGCTGTAGGCGTCAGCAATAATTTGAAAAGTAGAAAATCCCAAAAGGGAAAAATGACAATCTAGTTCAAATGCCTTAGCTTTTGTTTAAGGAATTCCAGCAACAATACCTTTCTAGAGAAGAATAAGTATCCACTCAATTTCTTTACCATGTGTTAAAAAATAGTCTACTGTCAGAATTATTATTATTATTATTATTAATAATAATAATAAAACTCCCACCGTCCTCCTTTGTGCAATTCAACTTTTTCGCCGCTGTCAATAAAGCTGGTGGAGACAAAATGGAAAAGTTCAAAGATATATACCTGCTTTATTATTCTTTATTGAAATGGGAAATGGTTATTTTTAAGTTTTCAAAGACGCGTCGAATCGCAAAATTTTACTATTTACACCAACTTATTGCATATTTTTATGTATAATTTTATTACCAAATCACAGTTAATTAGTATACTTTTCATCTAAAGTGTCAATTGCTCGGTTCGACGGGTTATTTTTAAAAAATATATATGATATTAATTTTTCGATTACACTATTATACATAATTAAATTAGCCATTTCAAAAATCGTTCGAATCATTTCGGCTTTACTTCGATATCCGTAATGGTCTGTAAATTTTTAATAATTTTTCGAAACATCATCTAAAAGTTGCACTACTCTATTAGAATGTCTGATCTACTATATCAAATAATAACAAGTTTTAATCAAAAAGTATCTAATTTCATGACCACGTGAAACTAATATGGTTCTAGATTGCTCGTGAACATGAGAAACTAATGCAGAACTTACCATTCTTTTATATGACTTACGGTATCACTGTTAAGGAAGGAACATTCAAATTTATCCGTAAAAATTGCACACTACACCATCTAAAATATATATACGAAATAATAGTCTAACTTGATCAAAGTGAACTTCTTTAAGTTTCAAGGCCTTTTAAATCTGATCACTGCACTAATGCAAAGAACGATTGAAGCTGTAGCATAAACAAATAGGGCAACTACCTGTAGGATAAATTTCAATGATGTTATTGAAGAAATGAAAATACCAAAGTATTTATTAGTTGTGCAAACAAAGTCCCATATTGATAGTTGAAAAGATTGAGAATTTATATATAAGATGTAGGGATCTCTTAGTAGTGTGAGGCTTGACAAAAAACGGACTATCACATCATGTTAAGAGTATATTCGGACTGATTGAGTTTAATAACTAATATTCAGAGCCCAAGTTCGAAGGGATAAGTATGACAATGGCATGGTGAAGGCACGAGGCTCGATTTCCTTACCTATACGAGCTTAAAAAGTTTGTTACGGGTTTCGGTTCAAGGGGTAGATTGTTGGACGTGGAACAAAAATCCAACGTAATTAAATGTTCGAGGACTTTTAGGATATTCATCGTCGAAAAAAACATAAATAGCCAGGCCCACACTATAGTTTACTTTCAATTAGCCATAACAAAACAATAATAATTTAGATATTTTTACATGGTGGGACTCTTATTAAAAAACATTTATACAAATAGTAGTACTTTTGCTTTATTCCAAAAAAAGCACATTTATTTTACAGTTATAACAGTTTTAAAGATTCCTTACCTTATTTAATAGCCATCAATTTCTTAAACATTTAAACACTAACCCACAATTTAAGGGAATAATTTTGTGACATATTAATCTATCCACAATTCTCTCTCATTATTAATTTAAACTTTCTAAACTTACCGTTTGTCTATGAAAGTTTCCTTCAAATAAATAGTTGCTCTTAAAATCACATTTCCGTTATTCTCTCAAACAAAAATACAAAATACATGCATATCTTTTAAATTATATAGTATATATTTGATGTATAATTATTAAAACATATATAGTTTTGTACATATTCGGTGTATGTATTA